GGATCGGTTGGACAAACGGTTGACCCTGCTCCCGTAGCACTGGCGACTGGTCTGAAAGGACTTGATGCGCATCGATTGGAACGGCTCCGCCCAATCAGCGTTCGTCGATGCGGCGCGTCGGCGACCTTCCTGATCGATACTTATACATTCTTTATAGCATATCGCGCATAATCGTCGTATAATTGCTCAAATCATCAGCTAGGAACACTAGCAGAAAAAGTTCTGAAGGTGGACCAAGGTGGCTTGGCGGGGGGTCCCACGACGATTGACTGCACTCAGCACGTGAGTAGGGCAAGCAGCTGAGCCAGCGCGAGTCTCGCTGCCAGGGCGGTGCTGGGAATGACGGACGGACGCACTTTTCCCATTTCCTTTTCTGATGGATGTCTTTTGCATGCACTTTTTGATAATAGCCTCGTAACTAGCGGTAAAGGCCTGAATGCCGTTCACTTTTGTGGCTATCTCGATGTTTCTCATGTGTCTGAGCCTTCTTAGCCTTAATAGGTAGTATCGAGCCCCTCAGTACCGTTCAGAATGAGCCACAGTTTCGTGGCCAAATCGGTGACGGCGGCGCCGGCTCGTGCGCCGTGACGTTATCAGCACTGATTGATCGTTTTGGCGGCTGCGTCGTGCGGTTGTCGTACTCGCAGTCATCACTTTCATCACGAGTTCGATTTTCAGCCGTCGTTTCGTCAATAATTTGTGGTACCGAAGAATTGCCATCTTCTTTTAGCCTATGACTGACATGGCTTCAACATCCGCTGGAGCGCTTCGAGCGCTGGCAATGGAATTGAAGAACATCGAGTCGCAACCATTGGAAGGATTCACCATTTCGGCCAGCGATGACAATTTATTCGTCTGGACTGTAGGAATCTATGGACCTCCAAATACTCTATATCAGGTAACCCATTCGTCTTATGAATGTTTCTGACTTGATAAATTGCAAAAGGAGCCTGGGAATATATGATGAATGAGCCTTTCAGGGAGGATATTTCAAAGCTGTGATACGTTTTCCGCCAAATTATCCCTACTCACCTCCGTCTATGAAATTCCTCACAAAAGTTTGGCATCCAAATGTATATGAGGTAAGCAGTTTTGTTGAAGAAGTCGATCAATAATTCATAGAATTGCTGAATATCACGAGCAACACCTTCGTACTCATTTTTGTACAAGTACTAGGACGCGTTCAAAGTGGTCGTCTGATCGTAGCGATCGTAGTGATCGCTAGGCGTTTGATACGTATCGATCGTCTTTTCCGCGAAAACGTCTGACGATCGATACGCATCCAATGCTGTGTGATCTTTGCGATCGCACGACCGACTATAAATGCACCCCTAGGCTGCTGATTAGCATAATGTTTAATTTTTCAGAATGGAGATCTTTGCATTAGCATTCTTCATCCTCCAGTTGACGATCCGCATAGTGGCGAGTTGCCTTGCGAGAGATGGAACCCAACCCAAAGTGTGAGGTGAGTTAATCCCATTTGTTTTCTTCGACAGGAGCATGTCATTTTGGCGCAATGTGGCTTGGGGGGGGGGCAGTTGCCGCCGCGGCGCGTGGCATATTCACATACCTTACCAGGAACGGATGATTGGTTGTCGAAGTGGCCATATGTAAAGAGACCTACACCGGTGGATGCGTTTTTGGACGCTGATCTCGAATCTGCTTTCCAAATCTGCCAAACGATTTTCCGAATGGAGTTATGAAGGAAAGTAGTGCAGCGGTAGTAGTCCGGGTTCACGTGCGAGACGTCGTAGGATCGATTCCCTGGCGGGTTCTCTTTTTTGCCTTCGCTGCAAAATGATTGAAAAAGGCTCCCAACTACCTTACTCGATCAATGCTTGCCTGTAGTTACCCGTGCAAAGACTTTGCGAAGGAGTTTCTAATCAGTTTCTGCGGTACTTACTAAAGACTGCACATGGAGCCCACAGAACTCTTGGCAGACGTTTTTGCAGCAAACAAGTGTGATATTCGTGTTCCGGAGATTAAAATACCCCTAGGGACAAGTTTGTAGCCAAATTTGAGATTTCGACCAAATTTCGAAATAAGCTGGGTATCTATCCATTCATCCATCAGCCTATCATCGAAGCCTATATAGCCTTGAGACGATATAAGTTTTTTTGGTTTCTGAAGAGTGTAAAGCAGTGTCTGGTTTTCTGTTCGCATGATTTCAACACCCACACTTTATTATTTTCAAATTTAAAGGGTCGCCGTCGTCCAAAATAGGTCAACCCTGGAACTACCGGCTATGGATATGTAGCATCAATGAGTGACTCGCCCACTTTTTTGAAGTTAATTCAAAATCTCGAATTTTTCTAGAAATCGGCCCCAGGGGAGTTATTGGACTACTTGAACACAGATCTCACATTCGTTCACTTCAAAAACGGCTGAAGCGCGCTCCGTATACTGGCGCGCCTTAACCTTATGTAGTGGCATGCAAGTTAGGAAAAAATTCGAAGTTGTCGACCTCAAACTCATCCAAAAGCAAGTAGGGCTGACCAATGATGAAGGAATCATGTTTCACTACTGCCAAGTAATCAGTCACAAAAATGCAAAAGGAAAAACACGCGAGGGATCCGAACCACTGACACCGAAATCCCAAGCCCACCGTCTTACCCACCAGGCCACCAGCACTTGCTCGTAAAGGCTCACTGCTTCGTTCGTGAGCCGCTGCTGCTGAGGCAGATTCCTCACTGTGTTAAACCGTGTGAGGAAACAAAAAACCTCCGTAACTCCGTTCAGCGAATCGTTTGGCAGATTTGGGAAGAAGATTCGAGATCAGCGTCCGAAACCACATACCATGATACTTGTCTCATTTCATATGGCCACTTCGACCCTTCATCCTTCCCTGTAGTGTGGATGGTACCAGCTAGGCGTGGCGGTGAGGGCGACTCACTGACTGCGTGAGTTGATAATGTTCGATTTTCCACTATGTCGAGTGAAGTGGCCCCCGAGCAACTTGGATCCGTCATTTTCACTATGCAAAAAGTTGGGAGCTTTGTTCTGGTAAAACCCTTAATTCTTGAAATATGGGATAAACTCCCGAAGAAAAGCAGAAGGAAAGATAATCAGCTTAGGCTGGTGGTCAGAGCCCGCGACCCGTCGCAGGTTTCTCTGATTTCCCGATTTGCGCGATTCACGCGATTTCGCGATTTGCGCGATTCCGCGATTCACGCGACGGGTCACGGAAATCACAAGTGCCCGATCAATACTGCAAGGTGTTCTCCAATCCTGCCGCCACTTCTGCTTGATAGTGATGGCTGAATGACGACTGCTCATGATTCCACTTGTTTCATATTCAGTGTTTCAAATGTTCAAATGGGGCACTTGCAATTTTTGCGATCCGTCGCAGGTTTCGCGCAAATCGCGCAAATCGCGAATCGCGAAAATCAGCGAAACCTGCGACGGATTGCGTGCTCCTACACCAGCCTTATGCTAAATTCTGTTCAAACGCGGCGCATGGGTCTCTCTTTCACGTTTCACATATGCGACATTCACTTTTAGGACTATATTGCTCTCTGTGATTTCCTTGTTGAACGAACCAAACACTTCCTCACCAGCAAATGTGGATGCCTCTGTTATGTATCGAAAATGGAAGGAAGGAACGGATATGAATTATGCTGATATCATTAAGTAAGCACTTCCTTTTCTTCATCAGGTGAACAGGGCAATTTGATAAGGCCTCACAAACATATGTATAATGTATACCAATTCCAGAAAACAGGTTGAACTTTCAAAGGAGGAGGCCCGAAAGGATGGTGTCACTGTTCCAGAAACCCTCGAAGAGTACTGTATAAAATTCCATCCACAAAGTTGCGATGATCAAACCATGGAGCTTCTTGATCTAGGTCTGCTTCCGCACTTTTAACAGAAATCACCAGTAGTCAATTCCTTCACCATGTTTCCCTTTTTTGCCTTCTGATTGAGCATGTGCACTTGCAGATGACGACATGTATGATTATGGCGAGGATGAAAGCGACGATGACGGCGACTATGCTGAAGAAGACGAGGACAGCGGGCAAGGCGAAAACTGACATGTATTTTTAGCACCAATTGTCTCACAAAATCGCGCATAATTTCCGTCTCATTTCTTACGATCACAGTTTCTTTTACTACTATCATGTTTCTTTTCTTCAATAGAATACTCGAATTTCATGGTTATGTAGTCTCTGGGTATGTACCATAGCATTGCCTTCTCACGCTCTCACACGTCATTTCATTCGAAAGTTTTGTGTGTTGTACTAGGTATGTATATCAATTGTGCAGCACCTGTATATTTTTACTTCTCGAACATATTTCACTAATTTTCATTACACATTTTAAATCCACCATCATTGTATGGAGGAGTTCTTATATTGCTCATTGTTGTGGAGATTCGTAGCATAGTACCCTATCATTGCACTAGTCCAGAAACGTGGCATTTTGTTCAGTTGACCCGTTTGATCCATGTTTTCTGTCTTGAAATTGTATACTTCTTAATGTGATATTATTTGCGTTCTATCGGTGATAGGAATTTTCTTGACTTTTAAGTGGTAAAGTTGACTGTCTATTTTGTTGCTTACTGAACGCGTTTCATGACGCAAACCTTTATCTGCTTTTGCGAGAAGCGAAGAGGTTAACATAAAGGTGGATTTGCGACTATTTCAGTGCCTTTAGCATGAGTCGGCGACAAAATCCATCCGAATTTTTGAAGCAAATAATCGGGAAGCCGGTTGTGGTGAAGCTGAATTCTGGTGTTGATTATCGTGGAATCCTCGCCTGTCTCGACGGGTATGCGCTCTCACTATCATGTATTAGGTCGTGAAAAAGTTCCTGCGGTTCTCGTGCTCCATTTTTGAATGCTTTATTTTGTTTTGTTCTAATACTAGGAATCTGCCATCTTTCTGAATACGATTTTGAAGATCTTTTCTTGCTTCATCTAAAAGTTCGGATCTGAGCATTTTGTTGCCACTTTCGAAGTCTTGAGCAGAGCATGGTTAGAGAGGAAATTTGCATGTTTTTTTTGCAAGCTCAAAATATGTTTGGAAAGAGCAGAAGCAGGTCAAGTATCGAAAGATTTTGGCCCAGATTCGCAATGAATATGCTCTGAAGCAGTTGTTTAAGAATTGCAACTATAACGAGAACCTCGATGATAAGGTGGTGATGGGGTACTTGACAATATGTTGAAATCATCGTTTACCGACGCATTTCCCGATGTCTCATCTATAGAGGACCACTCATCTCATGACTGATGGCCTTCGAAGGCGAGCATCGACACACCACCCTTCACAAGCTAATCATTTGGGTACGAGAGATTAATCTTCGGCCGTCGGCTAGCTGCAGATACATGTGTTTGAAGTCTAGGGTTAGATGGATCAAGAAACTCTTCACGACACTATTTCTCAGTCATTCTTTATGTCAGATTTAAAAACAGCGCCGCCCAATAACATATTTTCTTTTGCTGACATTGTGTTCTTTGTCTGCGGGCTCGTCAACCTTTCCGAAATGTACTAGAGATATTTCATCACAAAGTACTCACCAGTTGTTATGCGATTAGTTGTTTGTGGTGATGTTTCACCATGTGCTTAGAATCGGGTCATAACTTGCAGCTCGAGTGTGATATAAATACGTATTGATTGTGCGATTCTGCAATCGTGAGATCGCTCATCGTTAGACCGACGTCATAGTCGGCGACGGACAAGCGATGGAGCGATCGCGATCGCTCCATCGCTTGTCCGTCGCTTGCCAATCGCTCTCGGTCGAGCGATTGGCAAGCGATTGCGCAATCGCTTGCAAAGTGCACAAGCGACGGGCAATGGCTCTGCTCGATCGATACCGCAGCCGACTGCATTGACTGGGGGCGGGGCCAATCGCCCGTCGCTTGTGCACATTGCGCAATCGCTTGCCAATCGCTCGACCGAGAGCGATTGGCAAGCGACGGACAAGCGATGGAGCGATCGCGATCGCTCCATCGCTTGGTCCGTCGCCGACTATGACGTCGGTCTAAAGTACTTACATTTGAACTGCAAAGTATGACTCGTCCCTAGGGTATGATAGCTCATTATTAGAACTGATGTTAATCTGTGTCTGCAAGTTTCCCTAGTGAGGGTTTTCCATTAGGTGAAATATCAGTGAATGTATTGAATAACGAGCTGGGGATAGAAGAAGCCTTCCGGGTTTACGGACTACTTGATTTTTCCTCAATGGTCCTGCCGCGATGGCTAGAGCACAGACGATTAGAGAACGGGTGAATGCCCTAGGACTAAGCCTTGGAGAGGAGAGGGACCCGCGAGAGAGCGCAGAGGCGGTTTAAAGGGCTGAGTTCAAGTAGTCCGTCGACACAGGATCGGTTACAGGATCTGTGTAAGTTTGCTAAGCATCTATTGTTTCCCCTTCATATCATATCAGTCTGCAAGCAGTAGCATACCTTGACTGGCCGATGTCAGACTTTGCGATTGGAGCGATTTTGCACCAATTGCAGGAGCGACGGATCGCTCGCATCGCTCAAGCGATCCGTCGCTCCTGCAATTGGTGCAAAATCGCTCCAATCGCAAAGTCTGACATCGGCCACTTGAAGACTCGATTCACCTAATTTGGATGAGATCTTCATGACCGTATACGGTTCTAAAGAAATGCAGTGTTTCATGTCTCAAGTGTGAGGCAGAGTTAAATAAGATAAGCTGTTGATATGTAAGTAAACCTGAAGGATTCATGGTTCAGGTTCATGAACATTGCGCTGGAACAAACTGAGGAGTACAATAACGGCCAGCTGCAGAACAAGTATGGCGATGCATTTATTCGTGGGAATAACGTGCTGTATATTTCGACGTTGAAGCGGTAGACAGCGGAGTGGAGGATCGGTGCATTCTCAAGCTCCGCTCATTGTGTTCGACGAGTGCTTCAATTTCAGGTCATTTCACTGAAACCACTGCTTGTATTCCGAATTTTGTGTGTGTTTTTAAAATTATGCTTCCATGTGATCTCTAGGGTCAATAAATATTAAGCTCCTTCATATATATTACTTGTTATTAATCATGTTTCTATGAAGGGACTTGAACAAATTCGCGGTGTGTGGATTCTAAATCATGTTGTTGTGGTTAATCATGAGTGTACTTTACTTGAAGTCATCGGGGCTATCCGATCTCTTTTAGACATGCTCTACATTTTTACTTTTTAGTTGAGCCTCTGGTTTAGTAACTTCAGTTATCAATGTTTCAGCAAAAGCTGATTTTTCGTTATCTGTGAGAGCAGTCAGTTACGCTTTGTGGTCGATAGCGTGCCAGTTGCAAGTTATAGGTGCAGACAGCGGTCTCGGAGGGTGGGTCCCGCAACGATTGGTTAAGAGTGGACTTTCGAAAGCGAGAATTCTTTTCTAAACAATTCGATCTACTTTTGTACATTGCACGGCTTATCCCTGAAGCGAAATCCATCGTATCAATAACTAAGAGTTAGGGTATTTCTTAGAGAATCACAGCTCTGTGGATTCTTCCTGGTTGGGCTTTATTTCCATAGTGTCGATTGCGTTGTTTCAATACGGCGCAGTGTTCAGGAAAAAACGAAATCTAGGGTCTAGGGATATTTTTTTATGATTCCTGGATAATTCTCTTCTTTTCATCGATACGTTCGTTTTCTTCTGTCATTTTTAGAATCCTAAGCAGAGAAAAACCGCGAGAAATCCTTTTCCGTAGTGGAAATAAAGAATGCATTCGTCGTTTTTGATAATATACTAATGCTGCAGTACATTTTTCCAGTGGCTTATTGGAGTGGTATGAGTGTCTGTCGTTGGAATATTAATGCGTCAAAGAAGCGTCAGGTACGGTTTTTTTCGATGCATTTGATCTTTATACTAGTTAGCAAATAAATTCGGATATCGTGGAGGGTGTAGAGGGTTCTGGTGGAGTGTGCTATTTACTTGCTCTTTATTGCTGAAAACAAATAACTGAGTGCCGTTGTGCGCGATGAAGATCCGCTCAATCGGTGCCACACAGCGATGACGCGAGTCCGCTGTTCGCTGAGCATTGTGAGGCTATCGCATACTGTTTTTTAGGCACATAATTGAGTCGGTTCAAGTGGCATACGTTGCACACGTCAAACGGAGTCATCGAACAACTATGAGTTTCAGCGGACACGATTTGGCATGCCGCGGTGAAAATACGCTCATTTTTGAAAAGCTTTATTTTGATAATGATTACGGATCTTAATTTGCTCATGTGACGCTTATGCGAGTTTTTTTTTTTTTTTTTTTTTGTTTTTTTTTTTTTTTTATTTTTTTTTTTTTTTTCATTACGTTGCGCACTTTAAACCGGTTAGTGTCGTCGGTCGACAGAATCGACATTCAGTCGCCTGTTCGAACCTACGACATCAAATTTTACGAACATGGTAGATTACACTATCCAGTGCTGTCACCCCGACCTTTGCTCAACGGCCAAATTCATGTCGTTGTTTTTACAATTTCACGATTAGCTTGTGGATCATGTGAATCGTTTGCAGTAGTAGTACTATAACCTTGTTCCAATTGGTCGACATTTTGACGTGCCACCATCTTGACTTGTTCTATAAATGCCGGTTTAATTGCATAGTACTACTCCAATGGACCGACTCTCATAAAATACATGCGCTCCGTGAAGTTCCCCCTCCACAAAAACGTGCCGCGTTGCTTATTGTTCGTAAGTTTATGAAGTTGACTCACCAATTCTAACCTTCGGAAGAGCCACATGAGCCTTTGTTTACATCAGACGGCCAAGTAATTGTCATATTGCAAGATTTCCTCGACCCAACGTAGTCGTCATTCAAACCTACTGCTACTTTTCTAATAGACGGCCAACTTTCCCTCAAAAAGCAAGGAAGGAAAGCATTGTCAGTTAAATCATTCTTGTGCTTCGCACTGTCCTCACATAACAAATCAATTGTAAAAGCTAATTTTGAACTTCTATCTTGAAAGTTTCACGTTTTTGCCACAGTGAGATCAATCTATGGTATAGCCGTTACATTTGATCCACAACCTATGCTTAACGACATGGCCACTTTTCGTTCCGAAGCCCAGAAGTGTGGCGAATGAGATTCTACGTTAGAATCCATTCACATGGAAAGCGTCACTGTGGAAATGGCAAACTTCTGGCGAATAGCGTCGGTCATTTTTGTAGATGAAAAGCGAACACCTGAGAATTACTGTATATCCGAGAGGATGTGTTCTGAATCGGGTACTTTTTGAGCATTCCTCTATTGACAGAGCTGGGTTTTCTCGTGAGCTCTCCCCCCCCCCTCTAGCTCTCCTTGGGAATGACCTTGTAGTCGGCTGCCGTTGTTCAGCTCGATAACAGACAGCATACAAACCCATCCGCCTCAGCAAAAACACTTGACGTTTTTTCTCGGAAGGGCTCAAAATCATACCATCCTCACTACCTTCAATCAAATATATTAGTCTGCTTTCCGTGTACAGGGTGAGTTGATACGGCTGCCTGAGTGAAATTTTTAGAGCCCTTCATCGTTTTCAAATATGGGGTCCTTCTTAATAAGTCTACAAACTTCAGGATAGGAAGAATATTGTGAACCCCAACCTTTCTCCTTTAGTCGATATTGACCGATTATAAGCTTCCCTGTTTTTTTTTCACCCTTGTTTTGCTTAGGCAAACATTCGCAATTCTCTTATGGGATCCTGATCCATCGTTTTATAGCCATTCGAGCAAACCATTGGTAGATATTGCATCAACCTCTTTATTATAGCTTATACTGATAGGCCAGTCCGAAATAAGATATTTTTAGTGCACAAGCAAAAAAATGTTTCGTCACATATCCCCATCCTTACAAACATTGCATGTTATGGCACAGCTTGGTTCTGTTCTTGGCCCATCGCAATATCATCGACCTGTTCACTGTTAGGTGTTCGGAGTTAGTATTGCGAGAAAGGTCTAGAATTCGCACGCGAGTTTTCAAGTAATGCTATGACTATGCTATTCTTTTTGAAATCCTGATCTACTTTGATTTTTTTTTCATTTGCTCGATACTAAGTCTCCCGAAAAGTTCACATTTTTCCTTAGATCGAAAGTAGATCCTACCATCTTTACGGACGGCTCCCTGAGAGCCCTTGATGCTAGAAACTGATGAAAAAACGGGTGAGCAACGTCTTATGTGGGCGTGCAGAAACATGAGGAAACAGGTGCGTTCTAATGTTTTCATTTACTTTTTTAAATTCTATTTCCTAATAATGCTGAACAAAACAACAAAACTTCGCAACCGCAGACTTACCGAACCACACCCTTGCTTCCTGGCAAGTGCGCTACATAGTTACGCTACGGACACTCCATTTCATTTCAACTCACTCTTCAATGTGTACTTACTTATCTTCTCATACTGCAAGTACAACGTGTTTTTATTTTATAATTTCACTCACAAAAAGTATGCTGAGTAAGGCAGAAGTAAGCACGGGCATAAATTATTGGAAATAAAAGCAATACGAAGGGGTAAGACGGCTTGATACCAGGCTACAGCGAAAAAATTAAACAAAAACACAAAGTTAATGAAAATTAAGGTAGCAGAGCAGACCGGCCGCACCTTTCATAGTTAGTAGGTGACCACTAGCATTGCATTCAGATGCGGAAATAATTGCCGAACGAGAATCATGTAGATGGTGCATACACTATCATCCACAAAATTCGGATAATGTGGGTGCTATACAAGTAGGATGGGCACGCTGCACTTTTTTAACATAAATGTCTGTAGGTGGTAGGTTGCCCGCTACTAATACTGTCACGAGAATAGGGGACTTCAGGAGCCAGGGGGAGTGTGCCAAAGAATAGGGGACTTCAGGAGCCAGGGGGAGTGTGCCAATCTAGTGGGGTGGGGTGGTGAGGGCAGTCACTCGACAGCGTAAAAACTTCCGTCCCACCCCTTGTCATAGAGCCGAAATGGTTCCTTGAATATTCTTCCACAGGTCGCTAGCATCAAATTTGTAAGCACACTTCAGACATGCTTTTCCCTATGGGTCTGCCTAGTAAAGTTTTCTTCCTGACACGTTCAGCTGCTGAGAAAGAGGATGAGTCATTCCTAAGCCAGACATTCATCGTTTGCCGAAGAAATATTGGTGATTTTTTAGTACTGTTCTATTGATATTTGCTCCGTTAAGACCGCGATCTTGTGATCGTCCGATTTCGTGGAGCAGACATGTATCGATCATGCGATTGTGGTCACAAGGACGCATGATCGCACGATCACCCATTATATATGTGTACTTTTCAACACGAACTGTGACGAAATAAGCTGGGTAAGAGCCCGCGATCCGTCGCGGGATTCGCGCAAATACAGAGGTTGTTGCAAGGTGTGACTCGGCCTAATTCTAGTTGGAATATTAGATGTGTCTGTTCGTTGGTAATTGCTCAAATTTCCAAACATGCATATGATTTATGTTCTAGGACTGTACCACCAGATATCCGATAAGCGAAGTAGAAGTCCAGCAGTGACGTGCTAGGCACTCATGTCGAATAACCTCCAGTGACACTCTCCATAGTCCGCCTAATTCAACGACTACATCGGGCTCTTCAGTGTCGTCTGATAATGCTGCTGTTGATCAACTCTTGAAAATGGTTAGCTTTCTGCAGGCATTTTTTATGTTCATCTGTTCTTATATGGAGGGATATTATTCTACCGTGAAGTGCAGGAGACGCTTCTATTACACTTCTGCTAGTATTGTTGGTTTTCATGTAATCAGTGTTAAGGGTTCTGATGCGTCTGTATGGGGAAACTCCGCCGGGAGGCAAAAAAATGGAACAACAGAACCTCCTTGTGAAGCAGCAGATAAAGGTAAGTTTCTCCTGTATGGTTTAGTCGTTGTTTGCAGTAATACAA